TGATTGGCCCGGCTAAAAATCTGCCAGCGAAATCCATCTCAATAGGATAAATCCCAGACGGAGCAGTAAAGTGCTAAACAACCTGATAAAGAAGACTGGTTCTGTTCTGGGGACGACTGTGGAATCTCTGGAGATGATGGTGCAAAGAAGGATTTTACATAAAATCAAGAACATTGTGGACAACCCTGACCATCCTCTTCATCAGACTGTCATAGAAAGACAAAGTGTCTTCAGTCGGAGGCTTCTTCAACTTCGCTGTAATACAGACGCTACAGAAGATCTTTCCTGCCTACGGCCATCAGCATCTACAATAAGTTTTTAGTTAAATGAGTTACAACAACACCTAATTTCCCTCTGGGATCAATAAAGTATTTTTGAATTTGAATTGAATTGAATTTGAATACCACTCAGCTGAGCAATATTACATAACGAAAAACAAGAGAGAGGGGTTAAGTCTGTGAAGAAGCCCCAGTGAGAATATAGTAATCGCAAAGAGAGAACAAAAAGCCACATCAACAGAAAGGGTGCAGCTAGCACACCGTAGTTTTAAGCTAACGACGGAATGGCTATTCTAGAAAGGTTGTTAGAAGAACTGAGAGGGTTTCGCCAGGAAACCAAAGAACAACATTCGACTATCAAAGAGGAAATTTAAAAAACAGCAAAAATGATGGATATTAATGTAAAGACAGAAGAGTTTGTAACGCTTCTCCAATTAAAATAAAATAAAATATTTTTTTTAAAAAAAGGCTTAGATGATGTTGAGGCTTTTAGCAGTAACTTTAACAGAACAGAAAGTCAGAATAAGGGGTCACAAAAACAACTTGTTGAATATTCTGGAAAAGATTACATCATCAGTGGTCCACAAAAACACTTCGTGAGTGTGTATGGGGTGGTGTTGAATTTCCAGCCCAGTTCTGGGAAAGGTCCATCCTTCCTGGCTTTGAATTATCACAAACAACTGGGGTATAAAAGGTTATGGTTTTCTAAATGTGTCAGTTCAGTTTGGAAGGTCTGTACTGTCGGTTGAAGCTTGTTACTGACTGGACTCAATAAAACTCCCTCTGGCTGGCCGAAAGTCGACGTCTCCTCATCATTTTCCATCTTGACAGTGGATCTTTTTGCCACTACAATGACAGCAGATATTCTTCCAGAGTCGGGTCACGGAGGCAGCAGCTTGAACAGGGAAGCCCAGATCTCTCTTACCCAGCCACCTCTTCCAGCTCTTCTGGGAAGACTCCAAGGTGTTTCCAGGCCAGTCAAGAGACAGAGTGTCTCTCTTTATTGAAGCATTTTGAGCATTTGACACATGCCACTTGGGTGACAAGTGCTGAACACTGGAGATGGAAAATCTAAACTTTTGCAGCTTGATTTGGAGCATCAACCAAACAGAGAGACTCCTCTATGTGACGGTACGGTTTCTGAATGATGTCCACCAACCTGAGACAGATGGACAGGAGCTGAAATCGAGTGCCTGTAAACGATGTCCTGGCAGGAGTTGTGGGCACCAATTCAGGTCAGCGGCTCATCAAACTGGGTTCGGGACAAAAATAGTTCTGAAGGCGAGCCTTGTTAGCTCGCAGCTCCTGGAGAGGTGAAACTCATCAAACTCAGAATGTCTCTGAATTATCTAGTAAATTAACTATGAATTAATTATCTGGTGAGCTCTACGTGCTCTTGCTCTCAGTAAATAAAGCAAAGCCACTTTCTTTATTTCATCCGCCATTAAACAGAGACCGGTAGAGAAGGCTCTCAACGAGCTTGATGCATATCAAGAGCAATTTTAACGAGTGTCTGACCTCAAAGTCCCCAAGCATCCAACTTGACACGTTTTTGATTGCAAAGTTCAGGCAATTTATAGTGATGTAACCCCCAAATTCATGTTTAATGTGAAAATGTGCAGACTAAAAAATATTCCTTGCCCACACCAATCAGATTTACCAACAACTATTGATAATTTTTTTGCACTAGGTTGTGAAAAAGCTTTAGCCCAAATTTGAAGTCAACATGTGTCAGTCTAAAGATAAAGTATCTTTTGGTGTGACAGGTGATAATTGCCCTTTTGTTCGAAATGACTATCTTTCAGTTGGTGCCAATATGGTGCCAAGAGACTTTTTTTGTAGGACCTGAACCAATGCACCAGTGCACCAAGTTTTCTAGTCGTACAGTAAAGTAGTCAGAGGGAAGGCAATTAAGATGGCGCTAGAGAGCCAGTTTGCCACTCCTTATGCTGGGTTCACACCGAACACATTTAAAGCATCTAAAACGCACCCAACACCTCAAGTTGGACACACTACGTTCAGACAGGAATGAGACTAGACGTGCTTCTGAAGAGGGAGGGCGTCTTGGTTTTTTCCGGTCTGTTTTTAATGGCGGAAGATGAAATAAAGAAAATGGCTTTGCTTTATTAAGAACAAGCGGACGTTTCGTTCACCAGATAATAATTCACCAGATAATTTAGTCTGTTTCAGGTTAGTGGGCAACATTCAGTAAAAACTGTCACGTGTAAAAATGCAATGCTATGTCACAGAGCAGAGTCTCTCTGATTGGTTGACACGGTGTGTCGAGCAGCAAAAGTTCAGATTTTTGAGCTCGAGTCTCGGCAGCTTTGGATGCGCTGCAGCATGCACGTCAAACGCTCAAACTTACAGCTTCATGACGCGCCGCGCTAAACACGCTAGCAGTGCAGCGAGACCCCTAGACATGCGTCCATCATAGACTTTGCATGTAAACCGGTCACTCCTGTTGCTCAAAACATGTTCGGTGTGAACCCAGCATCATATTTTCACAAGTTCTAAATATCTGCCAAGTTTCAAGAAGCTCAGCCCTTTAGAGCACTATGAAAATGTCAGTTATTGCATTTTTGGGGACACATTTAAGGTCACCAAACTGATAAGGCCCTTTGTGGCTGCTAGTGTTAAATATTTTCTTAGTTTTTTCAGGGTTTAAACTTTATGCAGCATTTTTTTTAAGCTGTTAGGATGATAGATTTGAGTGCAAAATTTTCTGAACACAATAAAACATTTTTATAGTCCCACTAATTGGCACAATGGTCAGTTCACATTTGAATATGGCCATGTTCAGGACTGGATGCCTATGTATCATGTATATTTTTGTACAGTTTAAACAATTTACAGTGACATTACCCCAGCCGTCAATTAACAACATTAGTTGTTAATGGCCATGTTCAGGACAGGATGCATGTCTATTGTTCATTTTTGCACAGGTTGGACACTTTACAGGGAGGGACATTGTTTCCCTTCTTTGCAACGTTTTATTGCTCCTGGAACAACTGTTTTTAGTTCTGTTGCTGCCATCAAATTCAAAATTAGCCTTAATTAACAAATCATAAATAGATAAAGAATAACAGTACATTTTTTTGTTTAAACATGAGATTTGTTTACTGTTCTTTATTTGTTAAAAAATGGATTATGAATTTTTCCAGTTTTGCAGTCTGTTTTGTTCACAAATACACAAAATCCCAAACTTTTCAGATTATATATATA